ATTGCAGCCAATCAGAGTATCGCTGTTTATCAGGATGTTGCTCTGTGGCCAATCAGGAAGGTGTAAAAACTGACACGATTGGTTGCGTTACACGAACTTATATGTAACGCAATAATTAACAATTCCCAGATTCTCTCGGCCGCCAAACTTTCAGTTCTTGGTAGTGTACTCCGTGAATACTTAAAGCAATTCATGATCAGTTTAGGTCAGTCGAAAGCAGAAATTTGAACTTCGCACCATAAGAACAATACAGAAACCTAAACTAACAGTATCAAGCCGAGGGACAATCCAGATATAGTGATCCAAAACTCCACCTCAGTCACACTGGAGCGAAAGGTTCATATTAATTTATTTTTCCTTTCGCCCAACTTGTGTATTTGACTATTGGATTCTCACTTTGCGCACCTTTTGTAGATTTCTTTTGTTGATTTCCCAATTCGCCCAAACCGTCTTCAATTCTAGTTGTCGATTTCTCTTTGGGCAAACTTTGTCGATTTTTTTTCTTTGTTTACAACTTGTAATTTTTATTTTCTAATTATTTTTTCATCTTGCACACATTTGTACCTTTCTTGTGTTTTTTTGTCCTTAGTGCACAACTTGTATATTTGTCTTTGTTGATATCTCACTTTACTCAAGACTTGTAGATTTCTAATTTGTCATTTTTTTTCTTTCTACACAGTTGTACATAGGTCGAGTTAAGTTTCAATGAGACAGTCGTTTTTTATTTAGTTTTCATTACTTGTGGCATTAAAAATTGCACGCTGTTTATCTAGTGTCTCTGATTGGTTGTTACTCGCTGTTAATTTTTCTTAACCAACCAATCACAGACAACCTAAGGATTGCTTTAAAATTTTGTCCTCAATATGAGCTAATATGGACTTTCTCGATCAGAATGTCTATCAAAGATAACGTATCAAATATCCGACGGAAAAAGCACATTGAAGGGTAACCGAGAACCGCGCTAAAGATTATAGTAAAACCACGATGTGCCTGCATTTCTACGTCAAGGTCACGTGGTCCTGTTTTGTATATGGTGGCGGTACCAGACCTCGCACATTCCACAATGCTCGTTACCAGATCGTCCCGTACAATCCCAAAGCTGATGACGCTAAACAGAATCATTAATTGAACTGAACAGAGATCCTACTCTTTCAAATCGTTGTAAATAAGAACTAGAACAAAAGAAAACAATATAAAATTGTAACATACATTTTTCAGGCTCATTAATGTTAATAAAACCAGTATTCTCTTTAAAAACTCTAGATATCAGCCTTCGGCATCGGGTGATAACACTCAACACGCCCTTATTATTCTAGTCTAGTCGTCCACAGACTTTATATTGCGAGCGCGTACCACTTAATATTTTACTTGCGATCTCGACGAACTTATAAGAGAAATAAGAGAGATAACGTTCTTAAGACAAACTACGATTATTCTAGTAGATATTAGTAAAATCAAAGAGATGATCACCTCTTGCTAAAACCAAATCAGTTACGTCTTTTCAATTAGTGCCTCATACTGTAGCGTGGTGAAAACGAAGACTAGATGCAGCTATGATGTCTGCATGTCACGTTCACCCGCAAGCAAAGCAAGCCTGAGGAATCTCGATTCGTTCTGTTTCTTGTCCATTCTTATCCGCGGAGCCCTGGATTCTTTTCATCACATGGCTGTTGAAACGAGTAATAACGACATTAGAGTAGCTTTTTTTCATTTGGAAGCTGCAACTACCCGTGACGAACAAACAAATGATCAAAAGTTCTCCAAGGAAGACAAATAGCCCGTGCAAGACGTCGGGTTTAACTCGTGTGGCCATGTTGGTGCGTAACGAGAA